TGGGATTGGTCAGAGTGAAGGATCAATCAGCTGCAGAAGCACCCCCTTGGAGGGCACAGTCTAGGGAAAACAAATGGTAAAGATACGTTTATGGGCTTTTTATTAGCAAAAATGTCCAGTTCTGTGTCAAACAAAGGTATGGATCTTAGGAAACAAAGGTGCAAGACCAAGGACAAAGATGCTGATATTGGATAATCAAGGGCTTGGTCATCAATAAAGAGATTTAACAAATGTACACACTCTGAACCTCTGTTTCTACAGGATGCAATCTCTCAGCTTCAAATGAACCATATAATTAGACAAACAGGTTTGGTTTTATCTGGGCTGACAGGGAAGTCACTATCTCTGTATATACATAAACAATGGATTGTGATGATTTCCTGGTTGAGAAAGAACCCGAGGGGTTTGCTCAACCTTTTTATTTTCAAGAAATTCCTCAGCAGGGTTAGAAAAAGTGACTATCTTTAGTTTATCTGGTTACATTTTGGTAAAGAAGTGTATACATTTTATATACAAGAAATAGATGCAGTTCACAAAAAGATACAAGTTATACAAAAGTCATGAAAAAATAGATATAATTTACTAAAGGGTTAGATACGATATTTAGAGGTTTATAGTTGCTGTTGGTTTGGCCTCGATTTTAAGATGCTTTGAACTTGTGCAAGTCCAGAAAGGGTCTTTTTTTAAAAAAAAAAAAAAGGAAAAAATCATATATTTACTAGCTAGACCTGACCACTCTTCGCTGTGGCTCAGTCTGATATGAAATGAATGAGATAGTAAATAGAAGTATTGCTGCGAACATAGATTCACCAAGAAAACACATCATTCAATTCAATAGCCTGCCTTACATTGCTATGTCTATGTGGAATGAAAAGAAAGAAAGATTAAGAGGTTTTTAACAGAAATTCTTTAAAATTGTAAAGCTAGTAGATTGATTACATTTTTGGTTTATCCATTTTCTGAAGAAACATAAATATTGGACTCCGGAGCAAGCAATGCATAAGTGCCTATGAGGGAAGCAATTGTTTTCTAAATTCAAACCACACTTGCAAAGATTTCCCCTGCAATTTATTGATAGTCACAGTGACCACAAGATGTATTGAAAATTGAAGTTGTTAGTACTCAAATGCCATGTTGGTAGAAATGAGTGGTATGCCAATAGCAACCAATCACAGCTCAGCTTTTATTTCTTATACTGCTGAGGTAAAAGGAAAGCTGCACTGTGATTGGTTGTTATTTCTTCTACTGCTGAGGTAAAAAGAAAGCTGTTCAGTGATAGGTTGTTGTTTCTTTCACTGCTGTGGTAAAAGGAAAGCTGTGCCACAATTGGTTGCTAGAGCTCAGTTTTTATTTCTTATACTGCTGAGGCAAAATGAAAGCTAGGCTGTGAGTGGTTGCTTTGGCGCATCACAGATTCCACTTTGTCTATTTCCAGACTGCTAGTTTTATGCTAAATACACGCATGTATTTGAATGCAACTTTGTGTTAAAATTTCATTTTACTATTTAAAAAATGCTTGTCACAGCACCTGAAATGTCAAGTCAATCAACCGACTACTTTTTGAGTTTTGTGAGCACAAACATATGCAAATCATTGCCGAACCCAAAAGTTCTTGATTATTATAAACAATAAGATTGCAGATTAGCCGGTCTCAAAGTCAAGCAAGCCATTGCCACACCCAAAAGTTCATGATTATTATAAACAATAATATTGCAAATAAGCTGGTCTCTAAATCAAGCAAGCCATTGTCACACCCAAAATTTCTTGATTATTATAAACAATAAGATCGCAGATTAGCCGGTCTCTAAATCAAGCAAGCCATTGCCACACCCAAAAGTTCTTGATTATTACAAACAATAAGATTGCAGATTAGCCGGTCTCAAAGTGAAGCAAGCCATTGCCACACCCAAAAGTTCTTGATTATTATAAACAATAATATTGCAAATAAGCCGGTCTCAAAGTGAAGCAAGCCATTGCCACACCCAAAAGTTCTTGATTATTATAAACAATAATATTGCAAATAAGCCGGTCTCAAAGTGAAGCAAGCCATTGCCACACCCAAAAGTTCTTGATTATTACAAACAATAAGATTGCAGATTAGCCGGTCTCAAAGTGAAGCAAGCCATTGCCACACCCAAAAGTTCTTGATTATTATAAACAATAATATTGCAAATAAGCCGGTCTCAAAGTGAAGCAAGCCATTGCCACACCCAAAAGTTCTTGATTATTACAAACAATAAGATTGCAGATTAGCCGGTCTCAAAGTGAAGCAAGCCATTGCCACACCCAAAAGTTCTTGATTATTATAAACAATAATATTGCAAATAAGCCGGTCTCAAAGTGAAGCAAGCCATTGCCACACCCAAAAGTTCTTGATTATTACAAACAATAAGATTGCAGATTAGCCGGTCTCAAAGTGAAGCAAGCCATTGCCACACCCAAAAGTTCTTGATTATTATAAACAATAATATTGCAAATAAGCCGGTCTCAAAGTCAAGCAAGCCATTGCTACACCCAAAAGTTCTTGATTATTATAAACAATAAAATTGCAGATTAGCTGGTCTCTAAGTCAAGCAGGCCATGCCACACCCAAAAGTTCTTGATTATTATAAACAATAAGATTGCAGATTATTTACTTACCTAGGCGATCCCTGATAACCCAAGTATGATGGGTCCTCCAAGTGTAATGTCTTGGCGGTGGGTCTGTAGGTGGCTGTCTTGATCCGCATATTCTCCCGCAGTGAGGACATCAGTTTCCAGGTGGAAGGCAGTGCTGGTCAGGTTTGGCTTGACACGCCTACCTCTTGGCACATTTCTCCCTTTCGCCATTCATTCATGCCTCTTCGAATTCTGCAGCACCACTGGTCACAACTGACCTCCAGTTAGAGCACTCAAGGGCCAGGGCTTCCCGCTTCTCTGTGTCTATGCAACAATTTTTAGGATTGGCTTTAAGCCCATCTTTAAATCTCTTTTCCTGTCCACCAATGTTATGTTTCCCGTTCTTGAGTTGTGAGTATAGTAACTGCTTTGGGAGACGGTGATCAGGCATTTGGACAACATGGCCAGTCCAATGGAGTTGATGACATAGGAGCATTGCTTCAATGCTAGTGGTCTTTGCTTTTTCCAGCATGCTGGTATTTGTCCATCTGTCTTCCCAAGAGATTTGCAGGATTTTTCAGAGGCAATGCTGATGAAATCACTCCAGGAGTTGAGTATGACGTCTGTAGTAAACGGTCCACATTTTGCAGGTGTATAGCAAGGTTGGGAGGACAATAGCTTTATAAAACAAGCACCTTGGAATCCCTAGAGATGTCCTGACCCTCAAACACTCTCTGCTTCATTCAGAAAAATGCTGGACTTGCAGAGCTTAGGTGTTGTTGTATTTCACTGTGAATGTTGACTTTTGTGGAGTGGTGGCTGCCAAGGTAGCGGAAATGATCAACATTTTCTAACGTTATACCTTTAAGCTGTATTTCTGGCTTTGGAGGGGGATTAGCTGGTGCCTGCTGAAAGAGCACTTTGGTTTTCTCAATGTTCAGCGAAAGGCTGAGCTTCCCATATGCTTCTGCAAAGGTGTTTAGTGTGGCTTGTAGGTCTTCTTCTGAATGCACACAAACAATGCTATCATCAACATATTGGAGTTCTATAACAGATGTTGTTGTGACCTTGGTTTTGGCTTTCAGTCTGCTGAGGTTAAATAGCTTGCCATCTGTCCAGTAGATTATTTTCACTCTGGTGGGAAGCTTCCCATCAACAAGCTGAAGTATCATAGTGATGAAAATAGAAAATAAGGTTGGAGCAATAATACATCCCTGTTTGGCACCTGATTCCACCTTAAATGGATCACTTTGGGAATCATTGCTGTCCAAGACTGTTGCCATCATGTCATCATGGAGGAGCCACAGGATGTTCACAAATTTGTCACGGCACCTGATTTTTTGGAGGATGGTCTACAGAGCATTGTGATTCACTGTATCAAATGCCTTTGCAAGGTCAATGAATGCCATGTACAGAGGTTGATTTTGTTCCCTGCATTTTTCTTGGAGCTGTCATGCAGTGAAGATCATGTCCACTGGAGGGGTGGAAGCCATTCTGGGATTCTGGGAGGGTGTCTTCTGAGACAGGCAGAAGGTGGTTTACAAGGATTCTTGCAAGGATTTTCCCAGCAGAGGTTAGAAGCGTGATATATTGATAGTTTCCACCATTTGTTCTCTCTCCCCCCCCCCCACTTTTAAAGGGTGATGATGGTGGTGTCTTTGAAGTTTGCTGGGATTTTCTCGCTCACCCACACTTTTTCAATGAGCTGGAGGAGTTGTTGTGTCAGCTCAATTCCACCCTCTTTAAAGACTTCAGCCCCAGCAGACAGGTGTCCTTTGTCTCACCCTGGTCATTCCACAGATATATAAACCCATTTTTCCTACTTCCAACAGACCTCACTACCTCTGAGGATGCTTGCCATAGATGCAGGCGAAACGTCAGGAGAAAAATTGCCTCCAGAACATGGCCATATAGCCCGGAAAAACCTACAACAACCCAATTAAATAATTGTTTTGATAATATAATTTTATAAAATAATTAAAATAATAGTGTAGGATGCACCCTTACTGCTATGAAATACTGGGATGTGTAATCTGCTGAAGCACCAGTCCTCTTTGGTAGAGAAGGACCAAGTCCTTATAGAACTACAACTCCCATAGTTCTATAGCATGGAGCCATGACAGTTAGAGTGGTGTCAAACTGTATTAACGTTTGCAATTAGATGCACCCCTAGCCAAACAGTTGGAGAGTAAGCAATCAGCCAACATAGCCTCCTGCATTGTCGGAAGGGAGGGGGGAACGTTGCGACAAAGAGACTATCCCTTTGATGGGCTGCGCTTCAGACAATGGACCGCCCCCCCCCCTCCCTTTTTCCCCTGCAGAAGTGGTATCTTCCGAATCTTGGCAGGAAAAGGCAATCACCGCCCTCCGCCGCACACCTCTCCATGTGAGCTTCCAGCTCTGGCCACTAGGGGCAGAATAGAGCCAATTATATTTTTTCCCTCTAGTCTAGACCCTATAATAGCGCGCAGGCTGGGCTCCCTCCTCCCTTTTCTCCTTCATCCATAGGGATGCCTTTAGCTTATAGATCCTGGAGCATCCTTCCCTTTATGTAAAGGGGGAGAAGCCAAACGCCAGGAAGGCGGGGAGCAGGGAGCTGGGAGGAGATCCAGCGGAGCTACCCAGGCACCAAGATGTGACAATGGCACAGAGGAGTCCCAGGCGCCGGTGAAGGAAGATGGTGCAATGTTGAATGGGGAGCTGCTCTCCTCCTCCGAAGCAAGGTAGGCTCCTTCCTTCCAACTCCATTTGCTCTGCTATTCAGGATTGAGGTGGGGGATTCTCGCCTTTCTTTTGTTCATCGCCGATTGGGGTGGAGACACAACCGATCAGATCCATGATGCAGAATGACAGGTACCAAGGAAAACAACATGATAGGGAAAGATTGGTACCAATGCAGGCTTTATAATAAAAATGCGGGTGGAAAGGAGAAAAAGAGGCCTGGATCCAGACCTTTCCTTTGTTTCTTTTCTCCTACTTCCAGGAAAAAAAGGAGATTTCCTCCTCGGCTTTATTCTCTCCCAAGAGGGGAGCAAAGGGTTAATGGCTGCTCCTGTTTTGGCTCAGGGATGCTGGAGGGATCTTCCTTTTAAGAAACCTCACTGCGTCCTCTTCTCCATCCTGCTTTTTCATGTCTGGGATATAATAGAGAACCAAATAGTGGCATAGCTGGCCAAGGGTTGCCATCAGAGGGTGGAGGAACCCGGCAAAGAAGGCCTAAGGTGCAGCCATGTTCTTAGCTGGGAAGGATTTCCTGCAACAGCAGCAGGCAGGCAAGATGTGGGCAACCATTGCCATGCTTATGTCCTGAGGATGCAATAGTTGCCTTGTTGGACAACGATTGCCATCAGAGGCTGGAGGAACCTGGCAAAGAGGGCCCAAGGTGCAGCCATGTTCTCAGCTGGGAAGGATTCCCTGCAACAGCAGCAGGCAGGCAAGATGTGGGCAACCACTGCCATGCTTACGTCCTGAGGATGCAATAGTTGCCTTGTTGGATAATGATTGCCATCGGAGGCTGGAGGAACCCGGCAAAGAGGGCCCAAGGTGCAGCCATATTCTCAGATGGGAAGGATTCCCTGCAACAGCAGTCGGCAGGCAAGATGTGGGCAACCATTGCCATGCTTACGTCCTGAGGATGCAATAGTTGCCTTGTTGGACAACGATTGCCATCAGAGGCTGGAGGAACCTGGCAAAGAGGGCCCAAGGTGCAGCCATGTTCTCAGCTGGGAAGGATTCCCTGCAACAGCAGCAGGCAGGCAAGATGTGGGCAACCACTGCCATGCTTACGTCCTGAGGATGCAATAGTTGCCTTGTTGGATAATGATTGCCATCGGAGGCTGGAGGAACCCGGCAAAGAGGGCCCAAGGTGCAGCCATATTCTCAGATGGGAAGGATTCCCTGCAACAGCAGTCGGCAGGCAAGATGTGGGCAACCATTGCCATGCTTACGTCCTGAGGATGCAATAGTTGCCTTGTTGGACAACGATTGCCATCAGAGGCTGGAGGAACCTGGCAAAGAGGGCCCAAGGTGCAGCCATGTTCTCAGCTGGGAAGGATTCCCTGCAACAGCAGCAGGCAGGCAAGATGTGGGCAACCACTGCCATGCTTACGTCCTGAGGATGCAATAGTTGCCTTGTTGGATAATGATTGCCATCGGAGGCTGGAGGAACCCGGCAAAGAGGGCCCAAGGTGCAGCCATATTCTCAGATGGGAAGGATTCCCTGCAACAGCAGTCGGCAGGCAAGATGTGGGCAACCATTGCCATGCTTACGTCCTGAGGATGCAATAGTTGCCTTGTTGGACAACGATTGCCATCAGAGGCTGGAGGAACCCGGCAAAGAGGGCCCAAGGTGCAGCCATGTTCTCAGCTGGGAAGGATTCCCTGCAACAGCAGCAGGCAGGCAAGATGTGGGCAACCATTGCCATGCTTACGTCCTGAGGATGCAATAGTTGCCTTGTTGGACAACGATTGCCATCAGAGGTTGGAGGAACCCGGCAAAGAGGGCCCAAGGTGCAGACATGTTCTCAGCTGAGAAGGATTCCCTGCAACAGCAGCAGGCAGGCAAGATGTGGGCAACCATTGCCATGCTCATGGCCTGAGGATGCATCCACACCATAGAATTAATGTTGTTTGATTGACATCACTTCAATGCTGTGGAACCATGAGAGCTGTAGTTTTACAAGGTCTACAGCTCCCTCTGTTAATGGGAACTGGTGCCTTATCAAACTAGGAAGAGCCCTCGGTGGCGCACTGGGTTAAACCCCTATGCCGGCAGGACTGAAGACCAACAGGTTGTAGGTTCGAATCCATGGAGAGGCGGATGAGCTCCCTCTATCAGCTCCAGCTCCTCATGCGGGGACATGAGAGAAGCCTCCCACAAGGATGATAAAACATCAAATCATCCGGGCGTCCCCTGGGCAACGTCCTTGGCAGACGGCCAATTCTCTCACACCAGAAGCGACTTGCAGTTTCTCAAGTCGCTCCTGACACGACAAAAAAAAATATTTCATCAATAGGAGCATAGTGTCTAGATCTAGGGAAGTAATGCTACCCCTCTATTCTGCTTTGGTTAGACCACACCTGGAATATTGTGTCCATTTCTGGGCACCACAATTCAAGAGAGATATTGACAAGCTGGAATGTGTCCAGAGGAGGGTGACTAAAATGATCAAGGGTCTGGAGAACAAGCCCTATGAGGAGCGGCTTAAGGAGCTGGGCATGTTTAGCCTGAAGAAGAGAAGGCTGAGAGGAGACATGATAGCCATGTATAAATATGTGAGAGGAAGCCACAGGGAGGAGGGAGCAAGCTTGTTTTCTGCTTCCTTGGAGACTAGGACACGGAACAATGGCTTCAAACTACAAGAGAGGAGATTCCATCTGAACATGAGGAAGAACTTCCTGACTGTGAGAGCCATTCAGCAGTGGAACTCTCTGCCCCGGAGTGTGGTGGAGGCTCCTTCTTTGGAAGCTTTTAAAGAGAGGCTGGATGGCCATCTGTCAGGGGTGATTTGAATGCAATATTCCTGCTTCTTGGCAGGGGGTTGGACTGGATGGCCCATGAGGTCTCTTCCAACTCTTTGATTCTATGATTCTATGATACTGCTCCGATGATTCCATTGCATTGAGACATTATGGCAGTGGTTCTCAACCTATGGGTCCTCAGGTGTTTTGGCCTACAACTCCCAGAAATCCCAGCCAGTTTACCAGCTGTTAGGATTTCTGGGAGTTGAAGGCCAAAACATCTGGGGACCCACAAGTTGAGAACCACTGCATTATGGGTTTTTTTCATGTCAGGAGCGACTTGAGAAACTGCAAGTTGCTTTTGGTGTGAGAGAGCTGGCCATTCAGAAGAACAACCTAGATATGTTACCATCCTGTGGGAGGCTTCTCTCATGTCCCCATATGGGAAGCTGGAGCTGACAGACAGGAGCTCACCCCATCTGCAGATTCGAACCATCAGCAGTCCTGTCGGCACAAGGGTTTAACTCAGTGGTCCTCAACCTGTGGGTCCCCAGATGTTTTGGCCTTCAAATCCCAGAAATCCTGGTAAGCTGGGATTTCAGGGAATTGTAGGCCCAAACACCTGGGGACCCACAGGTTGAAAACTACTGGTTTAACCCATTGCGCCACTGGGGGCTCAGCCATGGTGGTTAAAGTGGTGTCAAACTGCATTAATTCTATAGGGCAGATGTGCTCTGAGTCACCCTCCTAGATCAAGGCTCGGTCCAAATGGCACAGATATGGAATCTCGGATGCGAAAGGAAGTTCTGGAAGGATTGTTTGTTTGTTTTGTGGCATAAAAATTAAAATGCATCACTCTCCGAAATAAGAAATGCCTGGTGCCAGGTTTGATTGTGTAGCCTTTGTACTGCAGTCTGGGCGGATTTGGGTTTTTGTTTCGTAAAAATCAAATGCCTCCTCATGAGGATATGAGATAAGTATGACTGAATAGTGGGGTATCTTCACTGTAGAATGAATGCAGTTTGACCTCACCTGAACTGCCATGGCTCAGTGCAATGGGACTTTGGGATTTGTAGTTTGGTGAATCACCAGCACTCCTTGGCTTCACTAGAAATCACTTAATTCCATAGCATTGAGCTATGGTGGTGAAAACAGTGTCAAGCTGCATCAATTTCAGGTGTAGCCTTGGTACTCCAGAACGATGTATTTTTACCTTGAGAAACGATAAACCCAGAGCCCTTTCACACTATGCAATGGCAGTCGTTTGATACCACTTTGGCCTCTTCCACATAGCTGTATAAAATCCACATTAATAATAATAATAATAATAATAATAATAATAATAATAATAATAAACTTAATACATTAAACTATATTAAATGGCAGTGTGGACTCAGATAACCCAATTCAAAGTGGATATTGTGGGTTATCGGCCTTGATATTCTGGGTTATGTGGTAGAGTGGAAGGACCCTTTGATGGCCATGTTGCCCCCTATGGAATCCTAAGGTGTGTAGCATAGGGGACGTTCTCTGCCAGAGAATTCCAGTGACTTGTGAAACTATAAATCCCAGGATTCTGCAGTTTGCAGTCATGGCAGTTAGTGATCTCAGAATGCTAGTTGGATAGTATGGAAGGACCCTTAGGGCCCTTCCACACAGCCACATAACCCAGAATATCAAGGCAGAAAATCCCCCAATATCTGCTTTGAACTGGGTTATCTGAGTCCACACTGCCATATATTCCAGTTCAAAGCAGATAATGTGGGATTTTATTCAGCAGTGTGGAAGGGGCCTTAGTTGCTGTCTCAGTGTATGTGGATCACAGTCCAGTGATATGGATGTAACGTAACATGATTCAGTGCTGGATAATAAGGAAATCCCAGCATTCACTTCACTGGGGGCCCTTCCACACAGCCCTATATCCCAGAATATCAAGGCAAAAAATCCCACATTATCTGAGTGTGGACTCAGATAACACAGTTCAAAGCAAACTCTTCTGATTTTTTGCATATGCCTAATAAATACACTAAAATGGCATTTAAAACTCATATCCCCCCAATCCCACCCAACTGCCCCAAAGCCTGCCCCTTACCCTTCATCATAAATGACCATCAATGGAACTTGAGGACTGGATACAATAATAATCTAGTATCTAACGCTATGCTGTGCTCCAAAGTACCAGCAATGCAAATCTGGATACATTATTCCTAATATGCCTATTTGCTTAGTGGGACCATGAAGCATCTGGCTCAGATTTTATTTT